CCATCTCCTCTTGTGAGACCATATTATTATTCATTTACAGTCAACCCTCACTTTACGCGGTTAATATAACCCACAGGGTACCGCGGAAAGTGAGAAACGCGTAAAGTGAACAATATAACATATGGGATTAATTGAAATAGAAACCGGGCCGACCCCCAAACTCCACTTTTTGACGACACACAACTATGTTGCAGTAAAAATTTTATCTTAACTTTATGATGGTATGCACACACAAGTAATATAGAAGAAGTTAGGTTAGGAAAAATAAAGGTTAAGTTAGGAAAAATAAAGGTTAGGTTACGAAAACTAAAAGTTAGGTTGAACACTTACGTTAGTAGAAGAGATGGGTCGGCGTACGGGGATGGAGGCTGGTTCCGAGGCAGAGGGCAGGCTACTGGCTCTCAGGTGAGTCACCATCACTGTCATCCACACTTGTCAGGGCCTCCCTGACAAATCCCTCAAAGTCATCTTCACTGTCTCTACCTCTGTCACTATCACTGGCTTGGGCTGGCTGTGGTGGGTTGCGGGCGAAGAACTCGGTTATGCTTTGCTGATGGCTGGTGTTTATGTTATCGTGATAAACCTTGAAGTAGGGCTCCATAGTCTGCAACAGCTGGGTAGTGACGATTTCATACCTGTTTGCGTCATGGTCGTCGGAAAGGAGGAGCTTGATTTTCTCGACACACTCAATGGCACCCCTAACATTACTGTGGGATAAGCGGTGTTCTTCTTGGGATGACGCACCACCTGCCTCTTCACTGACGTCATCATCATCTACCATCTCGTCGTTAGTCACATTAGGATCCCTTATCACCTCCAGGATGTCGTCATTGGTGGTCTCGGAGAAGCCTGCAGCTGTAACACTCTGCGCAGCTTCTCTGGCAAGGTCCACTGCTACTGTAACAGTCTGAACCTCACCAGTCACAGATTGACTCTGCCTTACGCCCGGAATGCCTTGCAACACATGTCTCCATGCGTGACGAACAGTTGCTACAGATAGCTGATCCCATGCCTCCACCAAGAAGTCCACAGCTTTCTTGATGTTAAATATTCTCCAGAATTGTTTGAAAAGTATTTTTTGCTCTGCCAACTGTTGATCCTCGTCTTCTTCGCTCTTGCTATCGGTGGTGGTGTCACTCAGGTTACGCAACTCTTCCCTGGTGTTGGTGTAGTCGTTCAGGAGCTAGAATTTTTTTGTTGAGAATGCAGCTTTTACATTGCAGATTAACTCTTGGTCCATGGGCTGTAATATAGATGTAGTGTTGGGAGGAAGGAAGACCACTTTTACGTTGGGGTGACGATCAAACAGTAGGGGCGAGTGTCCTGGTGCGTTGTCCAGCAGCAAAAAAATCTTGAATGGCACATTCTGTTGCTCACAGAATTTCTTTACATCGGGAACGAAACAGTCATCAAACCAGGAGAGGGACAGTGTAGAGAACATCCACGCCTTACGTGCGGTCAGCCAGTGGACATTTAGCTTGGTCATGTCCATGTTCTTGTAGGCGTGCGGCTTGCGGGCTGTGTGGATCACCGATAACTTGAGCTTACAGGTACCGGAGGCATTGGTGGTAAACAGGACGGTGATGCGCTCCTTCTGCTTCTTCCGGCCCCGAATCTTGCTGGCATTCTTCACAACGAAGGTCTTGGAAGGTAGCTTTTTCCAGAAAAGACCAGATTCGTCCATGTTAAACACCTGGTCGTCGGTGTACTGTCCTTCCTCCATAATCTCACGTAAAAACGGAGGAAATTCCCTAGCCGCAACACGGTCAGCACTGGCTTCTTCACCACCAATGTTTATATTGGTGATCTTGTTCTGGATCTTAAACCTCTGTAACCACCCAGAGGAAGCATTAAAGGGTTTGGGCTCTGTAGTTCCCATCTTTCGTGACACTGCAGCATGCAGTTCACGTGCGTACTCCTTAACAGAGCGCATGTCGACCGCCATGTTCCGTCGCGCCTGACGCACCAAGTAGCTCACAAGTAATTTTTCTGTCTTGAGAAGCACCTGGTTGTGGAAATACTTGATCATAGAAGCACCTGTAGACTTTGTGATCTTCATGTGCTCATTTATCTTGGCTGCATCCTTCTTTATCGTCCGGATCGTATATTCGTTCACACTATGCTGGCGCGCCAAATCAACCTGTCTTGTTCCTTTCTCTAACTCTTGGATGATCTTGTACTTCACCTCGTAGCTTAAGGAACGTCGTGTCTTCTTGCGCATAGGGCGGCTGGGTTCAGGCAAGGAAAGGTTTCTCTCTGGGGATGGTGGTCCGGCGGAAGCCATTTTAAAGAACAATGGATGCACAATTACACGGTGTGGCCTGGAGGGATGAAACTGCCGTGGCTAGGTCAAGCGTCGTCTTTCCTCCCTCCCTCCCTCCCCCGGGTGGACACGTCATATTACTTTAAACCAATTACAGCTAGCAGCGGAGGGAGGTAGGGATGCATGGCCAATCACAGTCCGATACGTCACATGATGTCAGTGATAACGCAACAGAGACATGCACTGCGCAATCTTACCGCGCGGCTTGGCCAGGCGGAGGCAGAGGAGGGAGGAGGCGGGAGCAGGCGGGTGGGGCGAATCTAAAAATAGCGTCGAGCTGGACACTCTCCGCGTAAAGGGGTACACGTACCACGGAATGTGAGCATCCTGGGTTCCGGCAGGGCACCGCGTAAACGTGGAAACGTGGAATGTGGGACCGCGTAAAGTGAGGGTTGACTGTATATCGTATAAGGTGCATTCAGAAACATTATTTAAAGAATATAGTTTGCAATTTTCATTAATTGTATTTTTGGGGAAAAAGAAGGTAAAAAGTCACACAAAAGATATGAAAAGGTCACACTTGGGAACGCATCCCATTATTATTGCTTTATTTTAATGGTAATATGATTAACTACTTGATTCCAGTATATACTGTATTTACATGCATAAAATCATATGTTTTCCCCTACAAAACCACTTTAAAATCACTTTCAATAATTGTATGACGAAACTTGCAAAAAAAATAAATAAATAAAATATCTTTGTAAAATAGGGGTGCACTTTATGCGGTGGAGCGTCTTATATGCAGACAAATACGGTAAGTATCTCTGGCAGTATTCCCCTCAGGCAGATGTGAACAAAAATAAATGTAAAGTGTGCAGTCAGATATATGGTCCCACACTGCAACACTACATCTCAGAGTGTGAAAAAATAGAACCTTATAGGGATAGATCCAAGCACACCGTGTATGCAATGGCACAGCACTTTATCTCTGATGACAAGATAGCTGATATACTAAGGCTGTATCCACCCTTCGCATCTAGTACTTAATCATAATTCTATGTACTGACTTAAACAATGCACTGTATACTGGAAATACTCAGTAACATACATTGCCATAATATCAGAATCATTGGGGTCCAATAAACACCCTTTGTGGCCTATAGTCTGTAATCCTTTTTGTGCTACCGCTCACAAAATGAGTATGGGGTGCACAATAAACTAACTGCTGTCTGCGGCAAAATTCAAATTCACTAGTGTGTGCATGTAAAAAAAAAAAAAAAAAAAATAAATAAATAAATAAATAAATAAATATATATAAATAAATAAATAACTAAATAAATAAATAAAAACAGTAGCTGAAACAGCTTTCTGTGCATACTTTGTGGGAAACAATATGAGACCATGGGCGATAAATTTTGGTATATGAGGGCTGTCACTAGTCACACGTAAAATTTTAGAGCATATCTACCCCCACCTGCACAGATAGCTGTTTTAGCTACTGTGCATACCTACCAAAAATTACGAGTTGAAAAACAACCATAACATAGGTCACGGCTGGTACTGTATGAAGAAATTTTTATTTCATTTATATTTTTGACTTTATGATTTTTTTTGGCACATTCAATATGAAAGATTGTGTGTGCATGTATCAAGAGTTAAAATAAAAACTTCGTATATCTACCCAAAATTACGATTTTAAAAATAACCTTAACATATCTCTGGCATCCTTCTCTCTTTTGCACATCTTCCAGGCATTCTCTACTGGTGAATTTTACCAAATCATGGCCCCTAAGAGGTAAATTAGTGGCAGTGCTCGTGGTGCTACCTCCCACACCTCCTGGTCTCTTGTAAGACATATTGTAGGGCTAAAATATAGGCAAAGACAAGTTTGTATAACCAAAACACTCGGCTGGAGATATAAGGAAACTTGGTGGCTTGGGCTGCTTATTCTACCACCCTGCAAAATAATGTAATGGTGCCAGATTCAAAACATGTCTGACCATGGGAGTTGCTGGACAACAGATTGCCAGACCAGAGAGATAAAACCTGTACCTATTTTTAAGTGAAAAAAGCCAAGACGTGGCAATTCAGCTGCTGACACGGGAATAGGAAATAAAAAAAACACATACAAGCAGCCACATGCTCATAGACTGCAGTGAGAGAGGACACAAGTTTTGGCAAGCTCTTGTGATGTTTTCTGGAGAATGCATTGCCACAAAAAAAGCACTATAAAAATATCAAGTTGTGGTTGGAATTCTTCTAAAATGTAGCTCTGCTACAGCTTTTGCTACTTTTCTTCAAAAGGAGCATCACTACCCCTACTAGTAGTGCAGCTACTCCCAACACAGCACACCAGACTTATTGTGCTTGATATGTCTTGTACTTTGCCAAGTAATTAATACAACTACAGAAATGGGGAATGGCATTTTCATTTCTATATGTTCCTGCTAATGGGTATGTCTTGAAAATATTACAAAGCCAGTAGACATTAATTTTGCCAAAAACTTAAAATATTCCTTCAAAAGGAGAGTTGCACACTATAAGAGTGTGTGTACTGATATCACAAAAAAATTCTAACCATAGACTGTACCGAGAAACCGATAGCGTTGTTTTTTGTTTTTTTGTGTATTATGGAAAGTGTTACAGACAGAAGAAATACGAAAAAGGGAGGGGGTCAGACACTAACAACCCTACCGATCTCAGGCAGGAGTAGGATGACATTAATTACACTCACCTGGTATGAAAAAGTTGCACACTAGTTGACACTGTAGAATCTTCAAACACGGGATTGTCCATTGAGTATGATGGAGGTGGAGATTTACTTTTCTTTTTACTGCTACCAGCAAATTTGCGCATGAGGCTCATCCCACCACCTCCACCACCACATCGTTCTTTTGTGCTTCTCTTGAATTAAAAAAGGTGATCATAATAATAAGGCAATAACTGCCTGTACTATTTAATTTATGCATCTACAGTACTTTGAAAACATATAATGAAAATATATATATATATATAGTTCTTGTGAACAGAAAAGTAACGTAAAGCGCTAAAAAATTCTCAAAATTGTGAATCCTACCATCTATTAGCTTTAATATAGTATTATGCCAACAAAGATAATATTTAGGTAAGATATGAATGATTGATCCTGATATCCACTTTACTAATCAACAGCTAATGAATACAGGTTCACTTCTCATATCCAACGACCTTGGGACCAGGACCATGCCAGTACAAATATCTATTACCTAAAAAGTCAATATATATAATACAGGGGGCCCCCCAAGTTGGCGGATTTTTATTTTGCGGTCCTCTATTATTCGCGGATGACACCCTGGATATACCCAAGAATGTCTGTGGGTGGTTTTAAAGTTGCTGGCATTTTCAGGGCTGAGACAGGGAGCCATTTGTTCTAGAGACAGAAATTTCCATTACCTGTATTGTAAATATGTGTGTGTGTGTGTGTGTGTGTGTGTGTGTGTGTAGACACACACACAAAACACATACAGTATATACAAATAAATAAGAATTGGAAAATCATCTCACAAATAATCAGAAACAAATTTATTAAAAATTTGACTGTCTACCCTCAAGTCTGTGCTTTATTAATTTATTAATAAAGCACAGACTTTTTTCTTTTCTTTTTTACGGGGATCAGCCCACCCGGGTACAGGTCACTGACCCACATCGGGGCCTGGGGGGCGAAAATGTAGTTACGTATAATTACAATAATAATAATAATAATAATAATAATAATAATAATAATAATAATAATAATAATAATAATAATAATAATAATAATAATAATAATAATCATAATAATAATAATAATAATTCATAGTAAATAAAATTTATAATAAAATTAAATAATTATAATAACAGCACTATAATAATAATAATAATGAACCATACAAAAAAAATTTAAATACCCCTGTAGTGAGAAACAATATACACCTGTATGTATGTTGTGTTGTCAAAGTAAGAGAAACAATTGAGACCCTGCAATTGTGTGCAAATAAGGCAGAAAGTCAGATGAGCAACCTGGGACTTGGTCACAATTTTGGCGATTCACGGATTTGGCGATTCACGGCCATTTTGAGAACCTAACCCTGGGAATTTGGGGAGGAGGGGGGGGAGGGCACTTGTAATGGTGTGTCAGCCAGAGCTATATTTAGCCTATTGCTTTGTAACATTATGGATTTCCTTGTACAGGTATCCCTCGAGATACAAATGGGCAAGGTTTAAAAAAAATCGTTAAGTGAATTTTCGTATCTCTAATAAATAAACATGTAGGAAATATTGGGTTCAGTTCCCCAGTGAAAAAAATCCCCCAATATCATACCCAAAAAAATGCAGAATTGGTTCACAAACAAGAAAAACATACGAAACTACAGTACTGCACTCTAATTTACTACCCAACACAGGAAAAAAATTAATAAAATACTGTTTAACTTTAGCATAATACCTTAAGGGAGGGCATAACATGTGCGACCCATGTGGGATGTGTGGGATGTTCTGCCCTTCCTCAGTGATTGCCAAGCTAAGCAGTTTAATGTGTCACATGACCCAGAGAATGGTTTGCATGTGGAAGAGCTTCTTCTTTGTCCATAAAATAATATATAATATGCCAGTAAAGGTGAGGAATAAATAATAATAATGTTACCGCCACAGTAAGATAAGCTAGAAGAGAGAGAAAGAGAGGGATAACCATAATAAGATAAACTAGGCAAGAGAGAGAGAGAGAGGGGGTGAGATAAGAGATATAGTGTTGACAACGAATTTGCTGACCAATCTGCTGAGGTGTTTCAATACGAAAACATATGGCCCTCGCCTCCGGGCTGAGATTGCCCTCGAGGGTAGTCTACTGATTTCTACAGGACAGACAACACGTTGGTTCAGACCACTAGACCCTAAAACGTGAGTGATCGTGAAGTATTAGAATCTGATAAGAAACTCTAAATAACTTTAATAAGTATATTTGTGTACAATACTGCAATTTGATCATATTATACCAATTGTCTCCTGTATCAATAGTGTTACGAACCACGCCACCAATTGTCCTGATCTACCTACCCAGCACCACGAGCAACGCCATCTAGGGACGAAATACGAGTATGACTAGTCTTAGTTACTACTCCGGGGTCTCCCTTCTCCATATCCTGGTTGTTGCGTCACCTCCTACAAGTCTTCTTCATCAGCTCCAGTTCGATGAGAGTTCAGTTCACTCTGGGAAGTGACCACAGGATCACCTATCCTGGAAACCTACTGCACAGTGACTACCTACCGTCTTCTACAATACTCAGCCTTACTCGTCAGCCATCTCAGCTCCGCACTTAAGTATTTGTAATCTTATATTGCCTCCCCCCCTCCACCTTGCTTCAAATTATTGTATGTTGTATAAATATGTATATACTGTTAATGTTTAGGTTAAGTATGGTTAAGGGTAAATTATAGAAAGCTGATTATTTTGTTAAGGAATTTATGGTACTTTATTATACACAACAAAAACTCTCATCCTTTGTCTACCCTTTTATAGTCCGATTGTCTTTGTTTTTTTTTTTTGTTGCCTGTTGGGATCTGGGTAGACTTTTAACTACAGTTGTACCCCACTTAACGCGGTCAATTGAACCCAGAGGGTCCCGCGTTAAGTGAAATCCGCGTTAAGTGAACAACAGAACATATGGGATTAATTCCAATAGAAACCGGCCCGACCCCCAAACTCCACTTTTTGAAGGCACATACCTATGTTGTAGTAAAAATAACATCTTAATTTTATGATGGTACATGCACACAATTAATACTTAAGAGAAATAGAGAAATACAGTCGCCAAGTTAATGTCCATTCAAATAATGGACTCAACTCTCTCACACTACACTGCCGGCTCTTCCCTCTCAGAGAAATTTTTGGGGGAAAACCACTAAATTTTAATAAATAATACCTCAAACTAAAGTTAGGATAATACAATTGACATTGCTGGATTCCTTGTAAGACCAGGAATATTTTGAATATAAATGTCATATATTTTGCACAAAAGATAACATAGTTACCTAGAGAAAAAATTTTATCTAAAAATTGTATGTTTAATGCAAAATATATGATGTTTATATTCAAAATGATCACCAAATTATAAGAATTCCAGCAATGTAAATTATATTCTGACCGGGTAATTTGTATGAATTTTATGAGCTAAAACAAATATCTTCAGTTAATAAAAAAAAAATAATCTTCACGACACTATCTGTCAATCAAAGTACCCCACCTTGCCTCCCCCCCTCTTCCAACCGCGCGGTCAGTCCCAACCCTCCCCCCCACCCCCCACCAATCCTCCCTTCCAGAGTTTTTAACATTTAGTATTAAATAATACCTCAGATTAAAGTTAGGATAATATAATTGACATTGCTGGATTCCTTGTAAGACCAGGAATATTTTGAATATAAATGTCATATATTTTGCACAAAAGATAACATAGTTACCTAGAGAAAATTTTTATCTAAAAATTGTATGTTTAATGCAAAATATATGATGTTTATATTCAAAATGATCACCAAATTATAAGAATTCCAGCAATGTAAATTATATTCTGACCGGGTAATTTGTATGAATTTTATGAGCTAAAACAAATATCTTCAGTTAATAAAAAAAAAAATAATTCTTCACTGGGTAACAGATGGTCGGTCGGTCCCTCCCTCCCCCCCACCCCCCACCAACCGTCCCAAGGAGATGTGTGGGATAACCACTAAATTTTAATAAATAATACCTCAAACTAAAGTTAGGATAATATAATTGACATTGCTGGATTCCTTGTAAGACCAGGAATATTTTGAATATAAATGTCATATATTTTGCACAAAAGATAACATAGTTACCTAGAGAAAAATTTTTATCTAAAAATTGTATGTTTAATGCAAAATATATGATGTTTATATTCAAAATGATCACCAAATTATAAGAATTCCAGCAATGTAAATTATATTCTGACCGGGTAATTTGTATGAATTTTATGAGCTAAAACAGGCAGTCAGGCAGGGTGGCGGGTGGGGCAAATCTAAAAATAGCGTCTCGAGCCGGACACTCACCGCGTATATGTGGAAAAAATCCGTGTTAAGTGAAAGTTCAGCTCTGGCGAGGCACCGCGTATATGATAAAACGCGTTAAGTGAAACCGCGTTAGGCGGGGTAATACTGTATATTCTAAATCCCCAACTCGTAACAAATGGCGACCGTGACAGGATCCAACATTAAGTGCCATATTTCTTAACCCCCTTGTTACTCATTGTTAATTATTCCTCCCAGTCACTTCTGTTCACAATTGCTTTACGGTGGTTTAAAGTTTCCTTCATATGTGTGTGCATATATTGGTATTATCGTACAGTAAGAGTGACAGACATAGGATATTAGGTTCAAAGTGTCATAAGGCTTACCTGTTATTACACGTGGCAGTCGTGTAGTAAGTCTTATCGAGTGTAGGGAAGAATCCGGATCTGTTTAATGCCGTACCCTCGCTCCAGAGTAGGCTGTTCCATAGTCACTAGTTTAGGGTGAAGTGATATCTTGGGACGCCCCGCTCTACCAGGACCCCATAATTGTAAAGCCTCCATTATTGTTCTTCTCATTATCTCATTCGGGGTCAATAATCTGCAACTCAAGGGTTGTTAATCCGGATCTTTATATTAATGCCGTAATATGCCCTTCCTGTTTACTCAGGGTTGTTAATCCGGATCTTTATATAAATGCCGTAATACGCCCTTCCTCTTTCAAGTATCTAAGGGTTGTTAATCCGGATCTTAATATTAATGCCGTAATACGCCCTTCCTGTTTACTCAGGGTTGTTAATCCGGATCCTTATATAATTGCCGTAATACGCCCTTCCTGTTTCAAGTATCTAAGGGTTGTTAATCCGGATCTTA